CCCCGTGACCATCTACCCATGCGTCCTGCCGTGGTGCCAGTCCGGCTCCTCTTCCTCAGATGGCCACTCCAAGCAGGGGGAGGGAAGTCTGAGTCTCCCTGCATGGCTCCCGAGTGGCCAGCCGAGCGAGAAGAGAGCAGTGCTCCAGGCACGATTGCAAGGAGGAGCGGGACCGGCGCCACAGCAGGATATGTGAGTGGACGGTCTGGTCCCCAGGGGCTGGACCCTCGTTAAGTCCAGCTGCACAGCGATATTAGTATTCGTCTATGAATACCCCCATCTCTAATCTTGACCACCCACACTTGGTGGATTAACTGCAGGTAGACGACAGGGATTCTAATGAAAGGAAGCACAGTTTGCGGAATCCACCCCCCCATCCCTACCGTCGACTGGGACTGTCATTCTTCCTGTTGGTGGGTATTACTTTCTGTGGTTCCCCTAATCCACCCATTCCTTTTTCCTCAGATGGGAGTCTGAGCGAGGAAGCTCCTGGACAGACGGCCCCGCCACCACTTAGCCATCAGTATGCCAAATCTCTGCCCGTTTCGGTGCCCATCTGGGGCTTTAAGGAGCAACGGCAAGATATGCGATCCTCTGATGAAGAGAACAGTAAGGTAAGGAGGAGCTCTGTGTGCGTACCTGTCTTCGTAGCAGAAGGCTAGGAAACTCTGAATAGTCCAGACAAGCACTGGGGATCCTGTTGGAAGGAGAGTTGTGTAGGCAAGTGAAGGGAGACCCTTTTTTTTTTTGTATAATCCCTGCCACTGAAGCTCTGCTTACGATAATCAGAATGCTATGAAGCTCAGAATGGTTCAAAGCAGAAGTGGGAATCCTGCAAGCCATCTTGTGGCCCCAGGATTGCTGCTGTGGTTCTCAAAGCTTAACCTCCCTCAGGCCTTCTCCTGCACTTCTACCCCTTGAAGCTGCTAGGGCACTGGTGGCCCACCTTGGGATCCCAGGTGTCCTCGGACTACAACTCCCAGAAACCCTGGCCAGCACAGCTAAATGGTAATGGCTTCTGGGAGTTTTAGTCCCAAGAGTATCTGGGGATCCAAGGTTGGGAACCACTGCTCTACGGAAAGTGATTTTTTGCATAAAAGCAAGCAACAAAGCCCTCAAAGAGGTTTTATAAAAAGGAAATGGACTTCAGGCATTTTGGCTTCAGGGGAGGGGCTTGTGTGTCCACAGTATGCCATTGGGTTTCTCTTCCATTCCTTAATTTCATGCTTCTTCTTGAGCTATATTGCTTCTTTCTGTTTATTGCCTTTATTTTTGTCCTTTTATTAATTTTTTGGGGCTTAGTTTTTTCCAGGCTCTCATTCTTATTTATTTCTCTTGCCATGTTCAGCATTTTGTATTCAATGAATTATTTAATTCATTGTATTATTTATTTATTATTTAATTCATTGTACTTATGAAATGAAATGTAAACTCTGCTCTGAGGTGGGGAAAAAACCTCATCTTTATGTCTGTGAAGTATAGCCTTGAGTTTTCAGTGCCTGGTACCAAACCAGAAATGGGTAAGATTTAATGAAACTCTGGAGAATGACTTGATGTATATCTCATACAAAATTCAGCTTTCTTCATGTATTTGTTTCTTTTAATTGGTGAGCGTAAACTGCTCTGTAAAGAATGATTCCCAAGATCAGCAGAAGGTGATGAGAGAAATTTTGTAGGCCCGGATGGCTCTTAGGTTAGGAAATGTTCACAACCAGCAAACTCTAGAGAGTTTGAGGGGGGTTAGAGATGGGCATGAAGTAGTTTGTCCCAGTTAGTAAAGGAGGCAGCAAAGGGTGCTGCAGCTTTCCTCCTCCCCCCACTTCTCTGGCTCAACCAACCACTCACCAGGCCCAGCGGGCTTGCTTTTTCCACCTCCTCAGCTAATCTCCCAGTCACGAGCAAGAGCACAGACTTCTCTGCCCTGCCCTTTTGTCTGAGTGGGAGATCAGCCAAGAGGGCAGGGCAGAGAAGCCCGAGCTGCTGCCAGGACGGGAAGATCAGCTGAGGAGGTACTACTGGAAGCTAACATGCTGGGCCTGGTGAGTGGCCGATTGAGCCAGAGGGGGGCAGGGGAGGGGAGCAGCCATACCTGTGCTGCCACCTTTACAAACTGGGACGAACCAGCTCGTGCCCATCACTAAGGGAGGTGGCCATCATGGAAAGAGGGACGAAGTTTTTCACATTCTCATATTTGCTGCTTTTTAACAGCATTCATCCCCTGACCTCGAGAAGATTGCCGCCAGCATGCGGGCCCTGGTGCTGCGAGTGTCCGATGGCACAGAGATGTTTGGGGACCTGCCTCGGCCTCGCCTCAACACGAGTGACTTTCAGAAGCTGCAGCGGAAATACTAAAGGATGTGGCCGCCCCGGTGCCTCCCCTCCTCCAGTGGGTGCCCTTCTCCCTCACTCCCCCCCCACCCCCCAAAATCGGTGGACAGGGTTGGAAGCTCCCCTTAAGCCATACCATTCAGACCTGTTCGCGTTCCTCCAGCTTCAAGTTCCCATAAGCTTTAAATTGAAATGATCACCTCAGTCTCACACTACATTTGGGTTGGAGGGGCCACCTCTCTCCCGTTTTCTCCAGCCCAAACAGCCCTGTTCCACTTTCTCCCTTGTCTTGGGTGACCAGGAGGTACCGCCGCCCTTTTGCCAGGGGTATCTGTCCCACCCAAGAGAGAAAGACACTACAAAGGCGTACTGACAAATGAACCCCTTTTGTTCCACCCACCCCCATACCTTAGCCTTGGGCTGCTGAAAGTTCTCTTTAGTCGGAAATGTTCTTTCATCTAAACCCTAACCCCTGCCCCCAAATAAGTGTCTTAAAAGATCCTTTTGCACATAAGCTGGGTTTGTCTACACTTCAGTTTAAGCTAAGTGCCCCTTTGTGGAGAGTTGGGGGATAATGGGAGACGTTGTCATCTTGTCCTTCTCATTTTTCGCTCCCATTCCATGCCCCACCCCAGGCACACGTCTCTCCCAGTGCCCAGAGGTGGCATTTCAGGGTCCTTTCTTTCCTACTGAGGAGGGTGGTTCCAACACGGGGCTGCTCTTAGGCACACACAACCTCAACAGGGCCTCTGGGAGTCACATACCACCTTCTACTTACACCCCACTCCCACCCCCCCCACCCCCAGACTCCACTGCCCCAGCATACTTTTGTATCAGATTTTCAAGGGCCTTTTCTCGCCCTGGCCCTCTATTTTTGTCCAAAGATTAATTGGTGAACTGGAAGGGAGAGGATGTATTTTTTTTCTCCTTCCTGCCAACCTACAAGCCAATAATAAAAGAAATGTTGTCTTTTACCAATCTTTTTTGCTTTGTTGTCTCTCTGACAGGAAGGGGTTTTAAATGGAGGTGAAGATACCTGATGGGGAAAGCTTTGAACCTGAGTGGTGGAAGGGCAGAGGTTAGTTAGAGGCCTGCTTCCTATGGTCATTTACTACATCACCACATGATGGGCGGCGTCCTTGCGCCACCCGTTTGGGATCTTTTTTGCTGTCATGCTGAAGCACCCCTTTGTGACTGCAATAGAAGGTGTCTCTCTCCGGACTAGATCAGATGGAAAGCTCTTTAATCTCTCTAGATTGAAAGCGAATACCAAAGTCTAGTTGAAATGCATGCCGGACTTCCTCTTTGCCGATGATGCAGCTGTTGTTGCCCATTCTGCTGAAGAGCTCCAAGAACTTATGAATCGTTTCAGTGAGGCCTGTCAAGATTTTGGATTAACAATCATCCTGAAGAAGACACAAATCATGGGCCAGGGCATGGACTCACCTCCCTCTATTACAATCCTCTACATAAGAATTGAAGGGTGTTCATGAATTTGTGTACCTTGGCTCAACAATCTCTGACACTCTCTCCCTAGATGTCAAGCTGGATAAACACATTGGAAAAGCATCTACCATGTTCTCTAGACTCACAAAGAGAGTATGGCTTAATAATAAGCTAATGGCATATACCAAGATCCAGGTCTATAGAGCCTGTGTCCTGAGTACACTCCTGTACTGCAGTGAGTCCTGGACCCTTTGTGCATGGCAGGAGAGGAAGATGAACACGTTCCAGATGCATTTTTGGCATCACCTGGCAGGACAAAGTTCCAAATAGAGTAGTCCTAGAATGAGCTGGAATTTTTGGCATGTGTACATTACTGAAACAGCAATATGTATGTTGGCTTGGGCATGCCGTGAGAATGGCTAATGGTCGGATTCTGAAAGATCTCCTGTATGGAGAATTAGTGCAGGGAAAGCACCCCAGAGGGAGACCACAGCTGCGATACAAGGATATCTGCAAGTGGGATCTGAAGGCCTTAGGAATGGACGTCAACAGATGGGAAATGTTGACATTTGAGTGTTAAGCCTGGAGGCAGGTGGTGCATCATGGCCTCTCCCAATTTGAAGAAGCCCTTGTCCACCAGGCCGAGGCAAAGAGGGAGTCCCGGAAGCAGCAAAATCAGGGAACTGGACAGGGGACAGATTGTATTTGTCTTCAGTGTGGAAGGGATTGTCACTCTTGAATTGGCCTTCTCAGCCACACTAGACGTTGTTCCAAGACCTCTACTCAGAGCATGTTACTATAGTCTCTCGAGACTGAAGGATGCCTACAGGAGGACATGAGCTGTATCAGATAATTGTTCTGGCTGTTATATTCCATCAAGTCGCCTCTGACTTACGGCAACCCTACGAATGAGCCATCTCCAAAATCTCCTGCCCTCACCTGCCCTGCTCAGCTCTTATAAACTCAAGCCTGTGGCTTCCTTTAGGCAGTCAATCCATCTTGTGTTTGGTCTTCCTCTTTTACTGCTGCCAATAGAAGAGCTGTATCAGATAATTGTTCTGGCTGTTATATTCCATCAAGTCGCCTCTGACTTACGGCAACCCTACGAATGAGCCATCTCCAAAATCTCCTGCCCTCACCTGCCCTGCTCAGCTCTTATAAACTCAAGCCTGTGGCTTCCTTTAGGCAGTCAATCCATCTTGTGTTTGGTCTTCCTCTTTTCCTGCTGCCAATAGAAACAATGTTGAAAGGGAAAATGTCTTTTTACTTTTCCTCTTAAAGGACAGATTACCTTGTCCCTGAAGTTATACTTGCAATTAATTTCAAGGAGAGACAGAACGCATAGTTCATAAGTAGGATTCTAAGGAGCCAATACGCAAAATCATGGGTCTCTTTTCTCAAACATACTCCAGCCAACCATCCAATTTCTCATAGAAAATGTTATCGGGGAAGACCTTCAAACAAACAAAGCAAATATACTGCAGGAAATTACTAGGAACTAGAAGGCACTGTTTTATTGGTGCTTGATATAGTTCTGTTATATACAAAAGAAACAAGTTGGAAGAGAAGGAGTAAGGGAAATCATATAAAATGTTGGAGGACCTATGCAGGCTAAACGGATAGGAGGGCCACTTCTGCTTAGGAACTGGAAAATAGGCTGGGTGATTAAAAAAATAAAATAAAGGCACCAGGTAGGTCTTATAAGGGGAATGGGTGGAAGTCATGTTTCCTTAGCAGACGGCAGGAATTGGCTTTGGCAGATAGAAGAAGGGAAGGGAGAGGTAGGATGGAAAAAGCGAAGAAGCTCAAAAGGCCCTTAATGTTGGCTCTGAGCCACATGTTATTGAGCTTATAAGGACAAGGGGGTAGGTTCAGTCATAGTATTTCTCAGCTCTCCGGACCTGGCAGTACATCAGCATGGAAAAGACGATGCCCAAAACCTGAGAAGGAGGAGATAAATTGGTCAGAAAATATGTGGAAGCTCCAGGTAAGGGCCATGTCTTCTAATATAAGACCACCTTCTAAAAATGCCCCCCCTTATGGCCCATTGCTACTAAAATGCAGGTAAGTAGGGGATGTGGACCCTGCTCAGTTGTGTCATAATCCAAGGATCTCTCCTGAAATCCCCCATATCTCTGGTCAGGCATTATGGATCTTGTCCGATACTGCCTATTCACTGCACCTGTCCAATGTCTTAGAAGGTCTGCCGCTCAATGATCTACATGGGATTTGGGTGCAGAAGGAAACCGAACTGAGCAAAGTGGCTAGTGGTAGGAAATGGGCTTAATTGCTCTGTATTCTTTTAATTCAATTGGTGAGCTTTTCAATAGATCCGTGCTGGCAACTTTTTTTCTCCTCGCCATTGGCAGTGATCATGGGGCTGGGGCACAAACAGTGGCTTTTTGCACGTACGCGCACACACACACACTCTCCCCCCTTCCTGGGTGTAAGGGACAGCTCAGGCTGCCACTGCTAAATGTCCACAATTTTAACAAGCGGTAGAGTTGACCTTTACCCAAAATGCACAGCCTTTCCCCTCCCAACTTGGCGCTTATGCCTACCACAGTGATGAGGACTAGAAACCTGATAAAGAGTCTTCAAAAGCTGCCCAGGTCCTACAACAGACCATGCCTGCTCTTGCGATCTCACCTGGACAACAATGATGCAGGCGGCAAAGATACCCATCGCAGAGATGTTGTCTCCCAGCCATTGTTTCACCTTCTCATAACAGGGCTGCAGGGAAAGGAACAGAAAATGGATCACTTGAAAGCACTGGTCAGAAAGCCCCTACACTCCATCCCATCGCTCTCCATTCTGAATCAAAATCATGTCCGCTTTTGCTCAAGCAGAACATCATGCTGGTACTATTAGTGTTCTTTCACTAATAGGATTTATCATTGACCCACTGATGGCACTATTCTCTTTACAGTATTTGTTTATTAAAGTGTTTTGATTTTTTTTTTAAAGGGAAGGCACATCAGTACTGCTGTCTTGATTTGAAAAAGAATGATCTCATTGTTATCTATTTGGAATATAAACTGTTTCACATTCCATCAGAAAACTGGAGTGTAGACATTCTAGCTGAGCCATTTTGAGAGTTACAGTTTCAAAGAAAAGGAAAAGAAAAAGAGAAAATGCAGTAGCCTTTTAAAGACTAACCATTTTATTTCAGTGCAAGCTTTTGTGAAGTTCTTTAGAGGTAGTTCAAAAAAGTGATGTTTTCAAGCTGTTGCAAAACAGTAAACTCATGTTGTTGTTAAAAACTGTGGTGAAAATTTTATGTTCTGACATCAAAAGGCTGCGTCAACAAAGCCCTCAAAAAAACTTCACCACAGCCATTAATTATCAAAGCTAAGCCTGCTGAAACAGATGGGTCTTAAATGGTCACCTACATACGTCAGAAAAGAAGGGGTAAGGCTGATTCCCTCCGCTGTGTGCTATAGCTTAGGCACCAGGCCAAAAGACATCTGTAGCTCTGCCGTATCTCTAATGGCAGAAGAATGTAGAGCAAGGTTGTTCCAAAGGAAAAAGTAGCCTCAGAAATATTGTCTCAATCCAGATGTGCTTGCACAACATCTGGCACTCGTTGCCTCACCACTGGGCTAAGCTCAGAAATATTGTCTCAATCCAGATGTGCCTGCACAACATCTGGCACTCATTGCCTCACCATTGGGCTAAACCAGTGGTTCCCAACCTTAGGTCCCCAGATGTTCTTGGAGAAGCCTTGGCCATTAGCTGTGCTGGACAGGATTTCTGGACGTTGCAGTCCAAGAACATTTGGGGACCCTAGGTTGGGAACCACTGAGCTATGCTGTCTAGGGCTGATGAGAATTGTACCCTAACAACATCTGGACAACCACTCTTGCCCCATTTTGTCCTTGGCAACTGAGACGTAATGCTTCCCTCTTAGTCTCTTGTCATTCTCTCCCTTCTTTAAGAACTAATTTGGGTCAGGGTAGGGTGGCAAGCCAACAAGTGCTTTCAACCAGAGGTTTCACAACACTTTCTTAAGGAATCAAGTGCTTTCAACCAGAGGTTTCACAACAATTTCTTAAGGAATAATAATCTGGACTCGCTGGGAGAAATCATGCAGTGGAGCTTAAAGGTAAATGTTCCCCTTGACAATTTTGTCCAGTCGTGTCTGACTCTAGGAGGCGGTGCTTATCTCCGTTTCCAACCCCTAGAGCTAGTGTTTGTCCGCAGACAATCCACCGTGATCATATGGCCAGTGTGACTAGACACGGAAAGCCGTTTACCTTCCCACCAAGGTGGTACCTATTTATCTACTTGCATTTTTGCACGCTTTCAAATTGCTAGGTTGATGGGAACTGGGACAAGCAACGGGGGCTCACTCCGTTGCATGGATTCGATCTTACGACTGCAGGTCTTCTGACCTTGCAGCACAGAGGCTTCAGCGGTTTAACCTGCAGCGCCACTACTGTACTTAAAGAATGACAATATTGTATGCAGAGCAGAGGTGTCAGGTTTCAGCGGTTTAACCCGCAGTGCCACTACTGTACTTAAATAATGACAATATAAATGGGGTATGCAGAACAGAGGTGTGTGCTGTCAAAAAAAAATCAAATAGGTCCCTTACTTTCTATGTTAGAGCTGAAGGAACCTTGGTTCTCAAACAGGTTCTGACACAGCCAAGAGATCAACCAAGTCCCTGCTTACCTACATATAATCACATCTAGGTATCTGTTCACTTTAAGGCTCTCTGCACCATTTGGAAATTCTAGGCGGCTGAGGATCAGAACAGAGTGCAAGACTTCAAAGGCATAAGCCATTTGTTGGAAATTGAAAATGTATGAAAAGGTAAGAATGCAGAAATAAAAGCCAGGATTTATAAGACTCCTATGAAGACTACCAAACAGATGTTAGCAATATTTTCATAGACACGAAAAGTGACTGGCAGGGTACAGCACTCAATGTAGGCCAGATGGGGAACATCTGGTTCTTCAGATATTGTTCAACTACAACCCCCATCATGCCCAATTTTGCTGTGCTGCCTAAGACTGATGAGAGCTGAAGTTTAGCAACCTCTAGAGACCCACATATTTCCCATCCCAGCTTTAAACTAGAGGTGAGGAAATGTGTGTTGTTCCTGATCTGCAAGTCCCATAATTCCTCACTGATGGCTACAATGGTTAGGGCTAATGAGATCTGGAGTCCGACATCTCCTAAAGCAATGGTTCCCAGCCTTGGGTAACCCAGGTATCCTTGGACTACACTTCCCAAAAGTCTTGGTCAGCACAGCTAGTGATGAAGGCTTCTGGGAGCAGCACCCCAAGAACACTTGGATTATTGAACATGGTTGTGGGAAACAGTACTAGAGGGCCACGTGTTGCTCACCTCCTATAGAGAGAAATTTAAAAGTGACTTGATATGTCTTGTCTCCATGTCCTCTGTCCATCCAAATATGGGAAACAAGACATTAGAAAGTGTTGAACTATAGAACCTCTTAAATTGAAACATTCTACAGTAAAAGGTAGGGCACATGTACATCAAAACCTGAAGAATACAGAACTCATACAGTGCATGTTTATTTTTTTATTTGTGATCTTATTGTGAAGAAGAGACAACCTGCGAGGGGACAAACATGAGTAAGGACCAAGAAAAAAGATTCAAAGTAGTGATTTTCTCTCTCTCCTTAATCACATGTTAGTGGCCAACACATAGTAAAGAAAGTGTACTATGTTTCAGTAATTTGGAAAAGAATTTGAGGTTAAATGAACTTCCGTGTTTTCAAAGTCTGCAGGCGCGCCCGGTATATTCATGAAGCTGATGGAACTTTAGTGGAAGACAGTTATCAGGGAAAGCTACAGCAAGTTCTAAGGACAGCAAAGAAAAGCATAATAACTTTCTAGGTTGGCTTGGCTGGAAAAAAAGTAGATGATTTGAATAAAGTTGCTTTATGGATTACAGCTCCAAAAAGTTGTATTCAGCTCTTTCCTTCTCCCTCTGTGCCTTTAGAAGGATTTGGGGAGGTGAAGCTTATTAATTAAAACAAAGACAAGGAAGCTTTTTCCATTGCTGATTGGTGACTAAAAATGCAAAAGGTTTAAAAAATGGCACTAGTCTTGGATAACCCTGACCTCACAGTTATGGTAGTTGATATTGGTGAGGCAGAGATGAGAAAGGAGTTGTTGAACACTTCTTGGTGTGTGTGTCAGATGCAGAACTTGCTGGACTTTAGCGCTCCCATATAGATCTAGCTGCAGCGGCTGCCCCATCACTCCTAGTTCCCTGTGAGGTTCTTTCGGGACCCTCTGGACTCCATGCCACTCCACTCAACAGACTCAACGTCTATACTACTGCTCTTTGAAGAGGCAGCAAATATCACTGGCTATCTCAGGAAACATCCAAGTTCCAGAACCATTCTAGTGCAGTAAGAAATCTTGCACTGCAACGGCTGAATGGCTGAAGTCAAACTCACCTCTTTCCACCAGCTGGCGCTGTTCTCTTGACATGTGTCACTTCGCTCTAAGCAGCAGGACTCTGGCACCCATGTGGTGTTACCACGCACCTCGAACCAGTCCGTGTAATTCCGCACGCCGCAACACCGAAACTGGAAAGGAAAGGTCGGAATCCATCTCTGAGGCATGGAGAAGGGGTTCACAGGATGGAAATCCATCCACCTTCAGGATTTCCCCTCTGCTGTTCTTTACCACTCTTAAGTACATGGATTAAACACATACCTCATTCTGCACAAGGTCCCACGCTCTGGTTAGCCCCAAATTGTCCTCTGTGTTGTACAGCTTAAGCCCGCCCTTTAGGTTAGACTGAGCATATCTGTCAAACTAGATAAAAGAGATAATAATATTAATGGACCAATGCATAAAATGAGAGTAATGTAAAAAAACAACTAAGAAGTGACCACCTTATTTTGAATATGAGACCAGCTTATCCTGAGGTGGGTAAAAAAAACACAATAAGCCATGTTTACAGGCGTTCTCTTTTAAAACAAAAAGGGCCTTTCATTTAGGGAGGAGAGACGGCCTTAGGCAAAAGATTTTGGCCCACTGATTCTAAAGGTACTTCGTTCTTCTTGTATTTTTACTGTCACATACAGGGGAGAGGCACTTATGGGATTTCCTGCCCCATTTCTGCCAAAATAACTTGGCTGGCTTTGGTTCCTCTGTGCATTGGCTGGTGCGTTTGCTGCTTCTGCTCTAGTACTCTCGGTTGGCCCTGTGGAACAACCGTATAGGCTGCAATGCTCCAAAGCGTTGGTTCTCGACATTTGGCCCTCCAGGAATTTGGGACTTCAGATCCCAGAAGATCTAGGCAGCATGGCCAACAGCCAAGAAATCTGGGATGTGAAGTCCAAAACAATAGGAGAGTGAAGGCAGGAACTATTGTTCTAAAGGAAACAATTCTTTCCCCTTTAAGGTATGGAGATGATTCATTGGATTCTTGCAGTGGATAAGTTCCTCATTCCCTGAAATCAAGACCAGCTCATAGTCTTAATCACTTTCCTCTTTACTCATGGTTTCCTTAGATTTTGGAATATGCTTACTTTCACAATGGGCATCACGGGTTCTTATGTTAACTACCCCACTGTATCTTATCGTTCCCATCACCCTGCTAGTTCCTTCCACATATACAGGCACAAGGATTCTTCTTACCTTGTCACGGCAGGTGACAAATACCAGCAACCCAACCAGTTCCAGGAGGAAGAGAGTGGAGAGAACCAGGAAGAACTACAGAGAAATAGACAGAACAGCAATCCCAGATTTTGTAAGGCACAGAGATTCACAAATGAGGTTTTGCATTAGCACACAACAGAAATCTCAGAGCATGGAAAAGTTACTTTCTAGACTACCACTCCCAGAACCTTGTTTGGTACATTTATCCACCACTTGTCCTTCAACGAGGTTGAGGTGGCTTACTAAGGCCTTCCTCCTCCTTTTATTCTCATGAGAAGCCTATGAGGTCTGTCACATTGAAAGAGCATGCCTGGCTCAAGGTAGCTCAAGGAATTCATTGCTGTGGAGGACAGATTTTAGGAGTTGAGGGGGGGAGTGTCTTCTAAGCTCTGGAACAGTGAAACAAAGAGTGTTTCCATCCTTTTCACACCCAGTGCTCTGCTCTACACTCACTTGGTTAAACTTACAAGATCAAATTCATACACCCAGAGTGTGAGAAGGAACATCAAAGTCATCAGGAGCAGTGGTTCCTAACCTTGGGTCTTCAGATGATCTCAGACTAAAATTCCCAGAATTCTTCACCACTAGCTGTTCTGGCCAGGATTTCTGGGAGTTGTAGTCCAAAGAACATCTGGGGACCCAAAGTTGGGAACCACTGATCCCAGCACAAATCTCATGGTTAGCTCATTCTTTCACCGCAGTCTTTTCCCCCAACAAGGCAGGTTCTGTCAACTGCCCACAGACACCCCAACATCTGTAGATCAAGCCGCAGTCACTTCTGCCATTGATTAAGTCATAGCACAACATGCCTCAATCAAAATCCAACGAGACAGGATACTCACAGAGCAAATTATTCTACATGACTCAAGTTAGCAAACCAAGTACAGTCGTGTCCTGCTTAACGATTGCCTCGCTTAACGAGGAAATCGCTTTACGATGAGGTTTTTGCGATCGCAATTGCGATTGCAAAATGCTGGTCTAAATGGGGGAATTTCACTTAGTGATGATCGGTTCCATGCTTCGGGAACTGATTTTTGCTTTACGAAATCAAAAACAGCTGATCATTGTGTTTCAAAATGGCGGCCAGCTGAAGAAAATGCCCCCCCACTGTGCTTAGGGATGGATTCCTCGCTGCACAAGCATGGAAAATGGCCACCCCATGGAGGATCTTCGCTGGACGGTGAGTTTTCAGCCCATTGGAACACATTAACCGGGTTTTAATGCATTTCAATGGGCTTTTTTATTTTGTTTGACGATGTTTTCACTCTACAGTGATTTCGCTGGAACGAATTAACATCGTCAAGCGAGGCACCACTGTACAACCAAAGGTGGAAAGTTAAAAACAAATAAATACATCCAGATGTGAATGTTCCAATAAGCTGCCCTTAAAAGCTTACCCCCCCCATATTCCTCTTTATTATAGTTAGTTATTTAGATCATTTATTGAGTCATGCAACAAATAATGCCTACCAAGATTTACTAACAGCAATTCACCACTGAAAGTTACATCTTTTGCGTAACTGAGCAACAAGATTTTAGCTGTTATTTTGCATTATCTTGGTGGGAACATTTCCCGGCATTAAAAATGGATTCTACAGATAAGTCTTATTTCAGATTAATTCTTCTAGACACCAGCTTCAGTATCTGATACCTGCCACCGTAGTTTCTGCACCTACCCAACAGAAACCTGTGAGCTTGCAAACATGCTCATTGAAGAGATGCTCCCTCCTTACCGTGAGTAAGAGACAGCGATGCTCTGTGGCTGCACCCAAGCATCCCAGGAAGCCCACCACCATGATGATAGCTCCTGTTGCCATAAACAGCCCTGCTGCTGACAGCGACGGGAAGGAGAAGGACAAAGTCGCAAAGCGGCCCTGGGAAACAGCCAGCCACACGCCCACGCCGAGCACCCCACAGCCACCCAGCTACAGGAATAAGCAGAGGAGAAGAGAGGTTTAGACAACCAGGGAACGTGGAAGCTCAACAGTCCTTCCTTCCAAAGCCCCGGGATATCAATTTTATAGGAAAGATAATCAGCTTAATGTCCTCAGTCATCTCTCCTTATTTCAGAACCCTTAAGCATTTTGTGTTCACCCCTTCTGCATCGACAATATAGCTTCTTCTGTCTTTAACACCTATGTAAACCTCTTAACTAAACTAAAAACTGTCCTTTCACTTCCATTAGGGTAGTTGCTATCAACATTCTATTGCATGCTCTCACTGTCACATACATCCCTAATGTGGTGACAAGATTAACAAACATCCAATTGCATAACAGAAATTCAGCCAATGGAAGAGAAGAAGGGGAGCTAGCTTTAGGGTCCTATATGATGACAACATTTAATTAGGCAAATTCACTCCCGACTTCATTAATTCTCATACCCTTGCAACAGAGGGTATTTTGTTATATTTATTAAAGGTGAAATGTTCTGCCCCAGAACAAGACTCAGTGAGTAGCCCTTTCTGGCGGTCCTAGATGCAGAATCTTGACATTAACATAACAGTCACGCACTCTTCATCATGGTGACCCGGACAGACTCACTGCAACTTACCCAAAAGATAAGGTTGAAGACAAACATCTTCACTTTAACACAGAGCAAACAGCCACGGCTGATCCCCATGGTGGGTGGATCTCTAGAGAGACATGAGGGCAAAAGAAAAAAAAGCAGTAATTCTGGACTTTTTTAATGCAATGCACAAACTTGGGTGTGCTATGAAAAGCACAACCCATTAAGATGCACATGTCATCTTGGCCTGGATTAAAACAAAATCGTAATATGGATTTTAGGAATTTTTTCTTTACAACAGCATCTTACAATATGCATAAGGGATAATGGACAATTCAAATGGAAAACAAGAGATGGAGAGGAAACTATTTGTTCAAGGAATTATATTACCAAGTCAAAGCATTGTTAGTTTTAAAACTCACCCTCCAAAGTGCACAGTGCAACACGACTCTTTTCTACCTCCCTTTTTCTCTCACAACCAGGAAAAGTCAGGTTACCTGTTTATATCCACTCACCTAAGAGAAAGCTCCACTGAAAGCAATAACACTAACTTTTGAGTAGACTTTGGTAGGAGTGGGGTTATCAGATAAATGGTGACTGGCCCAGGATCACCTAGTTAGCGTTCCAGCTGAGCAGAAATTTGAACTTCGTCTTCTCTGTCCAAGTCCTCACTGTCTGGATAGCCCAGTAGTTTAGGTACTTGACGGCACAGCTGGGAGTTCAATTCCCCGCTGGGCCTCATGGAAGAAGAGCTAGCCTGTGAAGCCTTGGGCAAGCTTACATAGTCCCAAGACATCCCCAGAAGAAGAGAATGGGTAACCCACTTCTGAATAGTCTCTTCCTGGAAAACCCTAAAAAGTCACGATTTATTTGATGGCACATGATCATTATTACTATCTAAGTCCAATACATGAATCATTTCGCTACACCATATCATACGCACAGGTGACAAAGTGAATTTGATTCCATGTGTTGATCATTCATTGCTCCTTTTTAAAAAGTCTCAATAAATATTTTAGATGTATTCCGAGAAAGCTTTCCCTGCAGCATCCATCCATTAATAATTTTTGACCAAGTTCTAAGGGGCAGCAGAGAGCTTCCACAAACCCTTCAACCCAGAGGAAGAGTCATAAGGACTAAAAGGATCCCACAATAAAAGAGATGATTTATCCAGAAGCTGAAAATATTCCCAATTATTTGCAGCCTCAACCACCTCATGAAATTAAGCCCTGCTGCATGTAACAAGTCTTGCTTCATAATAAACATACTGAAAAATCCCCCTAGACCAGCAATGGCAAATCTACGGCACGTGTGCCACAGCTGGCACGCAGAGCCCTCTCTGTGGGCACGCGAGCCATAAGTCACTGGATTGCTACCCCCAGCAGCCAAACACGAGGAGGCGGCTACAGCCGCAGTGCTAGCGCCCTAACAGGCGGCGGGCCTGGATCCGGAGCAGCTGGCGCTGTAAGCATCGAGCTATAGGCAATGGCGGGTTGGGCACAACTGGAGGTGGGTGTGGGGGCACCTCTGTGCCCGGGATTTCCGCTTCGGCCACCACCACTTTGCTGCCATTCTTCACTGTTTCAGCATGTGACGCCAGAAGCAGCTGCCTCGCTCTACCTAATAGCAGGGCTGGCTTTGTTTCTCTCCAGTGATTTCCTTGGCCATGACCACGATGACCACCACCAGCCCAGCAGAATTGTGACTATCATGGTACATAGTACTGAAGTCCAGCCTAGTCATTTTGCGGGAGAAAAATCCCAAGTCATTTTTAGCCTGGCACGAAAAATGTTAGTAATAATAACTTAGCAACTAGCAATCTGCCAATTTATTGCCTTTTAATTACACCCTGAATCCGTTGTGGTTGCCTCTGCCTAAAGGTAGGATCAGCCCCGTGCATTAGGACAGAAGGGGAAGGATTCAAGCTCAGGGGCCGGAGCAGTTTGGGTGGAGGGGGGGCCCCCCAGCTGATAAAGGGAACAAGAAAACACCCAAAAGGATGTCACAAATACAGATCAACTCCCCCCATCCAAACTTTCAGGTTTGGATACACTAAATTATACTTGGTTCCCACTCCTGTTTTTGTTGCTGTGGCTTTAACAGTTTTATATTTAGGTATTTCTACCATCCAGATGTTATCCACTGCATTTTCTCTCTTCAGATTTACCCTAAGAAAGATTACAAATGCAATCAGAATTGGGAACCTTTTTTTTAAAAGTTATGTTTTCCCATTTAAATAGGGGAATGGGTCAGGTAAAATTAGCTGTTCACAACTAAAAGTATGTCACTCATTTCTGGGAAAGGTAGAATGATATATAATATTTATCTTGTTCAGATGAGGGAACTAATAAAAGTGGTTAGCTGAGGTATAACATTGCTAAAGAAAGTGCACAATAAAGCAAACATCGGGGATAACAGTGGGACAAGAATATTCAGTAGTGCTTTTAGATAATTGTAGACTCTGGATTTAATGCAGCCTCACTCCTGTTTTAAGTGACAATTTCAAAAATAGGAAATGTTAGTTTTGGAATTAAAGCACCTAAAATTGCTAGCATGGTTGTAAATAAGACTTCTGAGAGTTCACTGATCACACACACACATACCTCCAAGTTCTAATATGTATTATTACTTTAAAACATGGTAAACAAGCTCTTCAGAATTTGATGCCCCTCTTGCTCATCCTGCTGAGGGGGACCCTAGACTTCTACCTCCCCCAATCATCCTACCATGATGGCACCACTGGGAACCTCTCCCCGTTTTTAACTGCAGACCCGTTATCTGGTTCCTTTTAACACTGCCCAGCCTGGCTCCCAGACTGCCAAGGGCTGCTCACATCCTGTCATCGCTGAAGAGGCTAGTGGTGGCAGAAGGGTAGAAGAAAATATGGCTATATCCACCTCCCATTTTTAGTCAAGACCCTATAAAAAGAGATCACCAAGTTTTACTTTGCCTCAAACCACCCCCACCCCCCCATGATTTTTAGGTCTTTCCTTCCATATCCTTTCCATGCCCATCTCTGCCTTCTTGCCACTCATTCCAGACTTCTGTTGTTGCTGCAGTAAAACCCATCCCGTAGAAATAATACGTAATCCAGATTGAAACACATCCCCCCAGTTCTGGATCCTGTAAACCCCACCACTCAATTCTAAATTCAAATTAAGGGGGGGGGGAGCGAGTCTGATTTCCATACCTGAATCAATCAAATATCTTTCTTATGCTAAATAATTTGTAGAAATGTGATGGCAGTTTCCTCCACCCACCCACCCCCTTTCTTGAAGTAAGTCTCCTTAAGAAGAGGGGGGAACCCCAAAGAAATCAAGATGAAGATTAAATACGAGCCTCTGGCTCAAACCGTTTTTATTTAATTTTTTGGCTTTGTTTCCACAAAAACCATATACCTCTCTGAAGGGAAGTTTGCCAATACAGTATATAAAAACCCTTTTCTCCAGAGACACACACACATTCCAATCCGGTAGTAAAAAATCTGGAGGAAAGAAGCAAGATCCGTTACATGGGGCCCAGAAAATTCCGTGGGGGCAGAAATCAGGCGCCCCCCCCCAACCTGGGGAAGGGATTATCTTCAATTGTTGTTTTTTTAAAAAAACCCATCCTCATCATAACCTTTTATCTCACACATCCTTCCCTCCCATCTCTCTCCCATCGTAAATACCATTCGCCTCCCCCCTCCTCACCTTAAGCCTCTTCGGATCAGGAGCCCTTGGGAAGAGGAGGGGAAGGCAATCCGGATTTGGGGCGAGAGGAGCCCCCTCCCCACAGAGAGCTTGAAAAGCGAAAGTGGCCCTTTTTCGCTGCTGGGATGCGGGATAGAAAGGACGCGGGGCGGGGTGGGGGGGAAGCACATTCCAAGCACGGGACAGGGGGAAGGAAATGGGAGGGGAGAAAGGGGGGGCAGCTATGGGGGCGTGTTTGAGGATCTGGGGAGGAGTCCGGGGGGCTCTGGGTGGGGGAGGGGTTTCTTACCAGGACA